CACCGCACCGCACCGCACCGCACCGCTCCGACACGATAATTCACAGTTATTTACAATAAAGAAAAATAACATTAAAACAATGAAAGCAAAGTAAGCTTTTCAGGGCTCTAAATTGGTGCAGTCATAAGTTATGTCCTAGGAAATGATAGATGACATGAATTAATAGAATACTCAATAGTTGACTTGGTGTGGAAGCTGCACTGTGGAGATGCACTGCCATTTTAAGATTTTGTATGACTTACAAGTTTCACAGCAAAATTGTCTATACGACAATAAAGACATTACTATCTCTGTTCTATCAAATGAGAGGAATATTGTTATTTCTTTGTTGCAGTTGACACTTATGGCAACTTTTTATTGTATGCTAATACAAACTTGACATTGAATTATATGATCGATTATGGTTGACTTTAATTGTAAAAGTTGTAACTCTTATTTTTAAATATTTCTTAAAGCCTAGTCAGGTCAGAATTACTATATTTTTAAAGCAATCCAATCTGATAGATTTTTAACCTTCTTCAAAAGTAAATGATTCGTTTTATTTCGATTTTTTTTTTTGATATCGTGGCGTAGGAACAGCAGCTTGTTGCAAATTTAAAACATTTTTAAATTACACTTGAATTAATATAAATAAAATAAGCTTAATATTTTGTAAATTGCGCTTAGATTTAAGTTCTTTATTGATTTTTTACTTTTCCGAATTTATTATATGACAATTACACGTTTGTAAATGTTAAGAAAATGTCGACATTTACATGAGCTGACTGAAACTGTAAAGTAGTCCTTAGTAACGACTTTTTCATGTATTTATTTGTTTTAATGTTTTACTTCTAGTAAGAGGATGGTAAATATCGTTAAAATAAGTAACCACTTAAAAAATGTCAATTTATTATGACTTAAGTATTTTTAATGTTCCTGACAACATATAGTACTGGACATTTTAGTTGGCACGTCGGGAACAAGAGTACGCCTGTGTGTCACGTGCCAACTCATGCGCCTGTTACGTAAGCAATATTTTAACAAAGTTTCACAGCTGTGTATTGCATAGTAAGATTATGGAGTTGTATATTTTTATAATCATTAAATAATTTGTTTACAAAACATCGTTTTATTGAAAAGCTAAATAAATATATTTGATAAGAATAGTTCATTTACGGCGAGGCTCAATAACGAACGATCGATGTCCCGATCGATCCAAGAGGCAAGGACATTTAAGAAATTACAAGTGATTTTTAACAGATGTGTATGTGAGCCCTTAATGTAAAGGGAATTAAAAAAAAGACTCATTACGACAAGTTTGTGTTCTCTAGATTACTGACAGTAATTAAAGTGGCATGTGTAAAAGTGGGTACATGATATTCCGATGAAACGCAAAGAAATTAAATTGAACAACTGCACCCATGTCTAAACACAAAAACTAGAAATTTCGTTCGCCTGGCATTTACGAATTGAAATGTTATAAGCACCCTATATCCATACTATGGTTGTAAAGAATCACTTTTTTGATTGAGAAAAGGTAATTAAAAGCCATAATATCTGAAATGTAACTTTCGCGTTTTAGTATTACTTCTTATCCAAACAATAAAATTTTCTTCATACTATATTCTTCTATAGTTAATGTAAGTAGCTAAATGACAATGATAAAAAATACACGCATTCTAAATTAGTCATTTTAAATGCAAATAAACCATTTTTATCGGTAATTATTTTGTTGATAATAATTTATGAACATCTCTATGTACACGTTGCGTCATCTCTTGTCGAAAAGCATAATTAATTTTAAATAGTTTATCTATTCATCAACAGATGGCGTTTGTGTGTGATTTTTTTTTACTAACGGACACCAGATGGCGCTATATATTTTTAATATCTGAACAGACATCGTTATTTTGTTCCTGATATCACAGAGTACTTTGTAACATACTGAATTTGATGCCTGATATTGAGTATCGGAGTATAGACAGCGCTAGTGAGAAGCAGGTACACCTTTGAGGAAATCTTGTTTATGTGCCTCTCTTACATTTGTTTAGAAGTGTATACAAAGAGATACAAAAATGTATAGAGGAGGCGAAGTGGGAGGGAAATTTTTATCACTAAAAATACGAGGTGACACTAAACTTGACAACTGATGTAGAACTTTTCGGAGAAAGTACCGATGAAAAAATTCAGTTCAACGTCCCTCGTCTATATACTTCAGGGTGCACAATCTCAGTACATTTAACTTGGAAATCCGAAGATAAAATACTGCAATATAACGGAGCACCTTAAATCTATTTTGA